CATGGTTATATTCAAGTTAGGCACTTTTCATGTGAATGGCACAGAAGTGATGTGCTGTTTATCTCAATCAATCACATCTCGCTTTTTTTTAAGTGAGTCATTCTTTAATCTCCTCCACGCCTACTCCCTTCCTAAGAGATGAATAACCACTGTTAATGATTGGCATTCGTCTAGTATTTTGTCTACACACTTACACACATACATATGTATACATAGGCACAATTGTACCCTTTAAAAACATAACAAAAATGAGTACACTATACACTTACTGCTCTGCAATTTACCTTTTTTCATTTTAAGTGTATGTCTTTGGGAATCTTTCCATGTCAGTACATGCAGATTCCCTTTATTCTTCTAAAAGTGGCACATATATATATATTTATTATTCCCACCACCACCACCCCCCTCCCAGAGACTAGGTCTGGCTGTTTCCCAGGCTTGTCTCAAACTGCCCACCTCAAGCAATCTGCCCACCTCAGTCTCCCCAAACAACAGGCAGGAGCCACCGTGCTCAGCCAAAAGTGGCAAAATACTTTTTAATAGTATAAATGTATTCTTGTTTAGGTTGTTCCCTACTAACGAATATTTGTTTCCATTTTTCTATCACAATTTCTGTACATACATTTAAGAACATACCACATTTATAATTGTGATAGATGCTAACAAATAGCTCTCCTAACACAGTTTTCCAGTTTGTGTTCTCATCTTCTGTGCATGAGATAATTGCATTTTTCTGTTAGTGACATGGAGCACCTATTCATGGCCTTTGGGTTTCCTGTTCTGTGAACTGCCTGTTCATGTTCTTTGCTGTGAGAATGCTGAATTGTCAGTCTTTGTCTGACTACTTATTTCTCCAGGTCTCACTCAGTTCTGTTCCTCTGCAGTGGCTTCTCCATTTCCCCTAATCAGCCACCATCCCCTGCTCTGCTGTCCCATAACACTGTTCACACTATGCCCAGGCCTTCATTTACAAACCATTCTATACAGAATGTACTCATTCCAAAAGTTTCCACTGTGAGCCTCTCTGCGCTTGGCCTTGGTTGGAGAGACATGAGCCGGTCATCATAGACTCCATGCTAAAGTTCAGTTTGGAAATGCAGCTTTGAGCATAGAAAAGAGCATGAGTTTTAGATATAGACATAACTTGTGTTCCAGCTTCAGCACTTCCCAGCTGTTTCATTCAGAACAAGTCACTTAATCACTCCAAGTTTCCCTTTCCATACTAGTGAGGCAGGGCTAATCCCTCCCTTACAGAGTCACTTGAGGCTGGACAAGAGACAGTATATCTGAAGTGGTTAACAAGGGCCCATCACACAGTAGGCTTGCAGTAAATGAATGGTAGCTGAAAGGAACTGTTAAGAGGTCAAAATCAGTTAGTTGTCAGAGGTTCTAGGAGCCACTAATAAACTGGAAAATAAAAAGGAAGAGGTAGCTCCTTTCTTTGCAATGCGAAGGATATGGATGAGTGCTGCTTGGCCAGATCCTGCTACGGAATATCCTCTATCTTTTCTGCTCTCTGCAGCAGATGTCTGCTTTGTCCTGGCCCCTCATCCCAATTCGGCTGCTCATTGTTGATGTACTACTGCCATTGCCCTGGGGAGAACAGGTGCTTCCCTTCTCAAATAAATTTTGGTCTCTTTAGAAGATGCTCTGTAAGAAAGATTTCAGGATACTTGTGCATGTCACCATCCATGATTTCAAGAAGTAGGGGCTGTGGATGGTGGTTCAGGAAGATTGCTTGAGCCCAGGATTTTGAGACTAGCCATGGTGAGACCCCATTTCTACAAAATATATTTTAAAAAATTAGCCAGGTGTGATGTGGTGGTGCATGCCTGTAGTCCCAGCTACTTGGGAGGCTGATGTAGGAGGATCTCTTGAGCCCAGAGGTTGAGGCTACAGTGAGTTCTGTTTATACCACTGCACTGCAGCCTGAGTGACAGAGTGAGACCCCGTATAAAAAAAAAGAGAGAGAGACAGAGAGAACTTGAAGTGGAAATGCTATGTGTGTGTGTATGTGGAGAGAGGCTCAGAGACCTGGATTATAGACAAAGCTTTGCCTCTGCTGGGTGAGTCCTGGCAATCTTCTTAGCTTCAGTTTTCTCATCACTGCATCTCATGATTTCTAAAGGTCTTCTAAATTTGAATTCACTGTGTAAAGGCATGGTGTGTGAACACTACTCTCTTTAGTCAGAAATCTCCATATTCTTGGACACCAGCAGCTCCCATGACCTGTTTTAATGTCATGGAGAGCACACTGTGTTCCACTTATATGGTCATGACATGGTTTTTCCACTGAACTGACAGCTGGTGAATCCCAATATGGTTCTTGGGTTCCTAGAGCCTACCTTTTATTGAGTGCTAGGCTAGGCACTGTGTCAGCTTGTGAAGATACAAAGATAACATGTCAGCTTCTGTCTTCATGGAGTCAGTCCACAGTCCAGCTAGGAAACAACTGTAAGATAAATACCACTGCCTTGATGGAGGTTTGTCCAAAGTGTACAGAATCCCTGGGAAGGAACGCTTGTCCTGTCCAGCTGAGGTTGACAGTTTCCCTGAAGACCGCAAAGCAGAGGTCAGCTGATGAGTGTCTTTTATGGCATCCAAAGGACTCTAGTTTTTAAGACATAACCTATAAGGTTTGACTAAAACATTCTGAGCATGGCAAAGCAGTGTAAATCTTTGTTGAATGCATGTGTGACAGTGGGAAGAGGGGACATGGTAATTAGGAGTACAGTCATATGTCGTTAAAGACCAGGATATGTTCTGACAAATGCATCATTAGCCAATTTCATTGTTGTATAAACATCATCGAGTGTATTTACACAAACCTAGATGATATAGTCAACTACACCCCTAGGCTATATGGTAGAGCATACTGCTCCTATGCTAGAAACCTGCATGTTACTGTACTAAATAATATAGGTGATTATAACACAATGGTAAGTATTTGTGTATCTAAACACGGAAAAGGTAAAATAAAAATACAATAAAATAATCTTATGGGACCTCTTATGTGCAGTTGGCTTTTGACCAGAATATCATTAAGCAGCACATGGCTATATTTCCTAAATTGTGGCCTTCTGTGTTACTTAGCCTTTCTACATCTGTTTCCTTTTTTTTTTTTCTTTTTGTGAAATGAGAATTTTAAAAATCAACTTCAAAGTGTTGATCAGGTTTTGTGACTCACACCTGTAATCATAGCACTTTGGGAGGAAGAGGCGGGAGGACTGCTTGAGCCCAGGAGAGTAGGAGTTGGAGACTAGCCTGGGCATGGAAATACCCCATCTCTACAAAAAAATAAAAACTAACAGGTCACAGTAGGGTGGGCTTAAAGTCCCAGCTATGTGAGGGGTTGCGATGGGGAATCAATTGCCGGGAAGGTAGGTTACAGTGAGATGTTATAGTGCCACTGTACTCCATGCTGGGTGACTGAGCAAGATTCTATCTCAAAAAAAAAAAAACCCACAAAGTGTTGTTGAAATTTAAAATATTATCTATAATAGATATACAGGAGTAATCCTGGCATTTAATAAACGCTCAATATTTTTTAAAAGGTGACATTTGTTTTACACAATACACATTACCTAAACAAGCAATCCAGTAATCTATGAGCTGCTTCTATGCCTCTTTCCTTATCTGCTAAATGGTTCTCCAATTTTACCTCTTCATAATACCCTGTCCTTCTCCTTCCCAGAACTTGCCATAATGTTAATTAAATGCTCTAATAATAATAATTATTATTATTATTATTTGAGACTCCGTCTCACTCTGTCACCAGGCACGAGGCTGGAGTGCAGTGGCACGATCTCAGCTCACTGCAACCTCCGCCTCCCAGGTTCAAGCAATTCTCCTGCCTCAGCATCCAGAGTAGCTGGGACTACAGGCATGCGTCACCATGCCCAGCTAATTTTTGTATTTTTTAGTAGAGACAGGGTTTCACCATGTTGGCCAGGATGGTTTCGATCTCTTGACCTTGTGATCCACCCGCCTCGGCCTCCCAAAGTGCTGGGATTACAGGCATAAGCCGCTACTCCTGGCGCTTTCTTCTTTTTTTTTCAGATGGAGTTTTGTTCTTGTTGCCCAGGCTGGAGGGTAATGGTACAATCTCGGCTCACCACAACCTCTGCCTTAGTAGAGAGGAAGTTTCTCCACGTTGGTCAGGCTGGTCTTGAACTCCTGACCGCAGGTGATCCACCTTCCTTGGCCTCTCAAAGTGCTGGATTACAGGTGTGAGCCACTGCGTGGTGGCCTAAAATTTTTAATTTTTATTTACTTTTTATAAAAAGATTTTGTGAAAATTTTTATTCTTTATCTTATTTTTTGAGACAGGCTCTCAGTCTGTCACCCAGGCTGGAGTGCAGTTGCGACCATGCCTGGCTAATTTTTAAAATTTTTTTGAGATAGCTTCTTGCTATATTACAGAGGTTGGTTTCAAATTCTTGGCCTTAAGAGAGCCTTCCCCCTTAGGCTCCCAAAGTACTGAGATTACAGGTGTGAGCAACCTTGGCAGCCCAGCCAGGCATTCAAACTTTACCAGTCCCAAAGCATGAGACTTCAGTCAGCACCATACCCATGTCCATTAGCAATTGCTTAAAGGCACTTGTTCTTTTCTTCCCTATACAAGCATCACCCTTTATCTTTGTGTTCCTAAAATTTGTGATAGAAACAACAACGTTAGCCAATGAATAGGCTGTTATTTTATTTTGTTTTTTGTTTTGAGACGGAGTTTCGCTCTTGTTACCCAGGCTGGAGTGCAATGGCGCGATCTCGGCTCCCCGCAACCTCTGCCTCCTGGGTTCAAGCAATTCTCCTGCCTCAGGCTCCCGAGTAGCTGGGATTACAGGCATGCGCCACCATGCCCAGCTAACTTTTGTATTTTTAATAGAGACGGTGTTTCACCTTGTTGACCAGGATGGTCTCGATCTCTTGACCTGGAGATCCACCCGCCTCAGCCTCCCAAAGTGCTGGGATTATAGGCGTGAGCCATTGCGCCCAGCCAGGTTATTTTAATGTAAATTACTGGCATATAATTTAGCAAGAGCCTGTTTTTTTCTCTTTTTGTCTTTAAAAATTCACTTGTAGCAGGGTACAGTGACCCACGCCTGTAATCCCAGTACTTTAGGAGGCAGAGGTGGAAGGATCAATCTGTTCAAGCCAATAGTTCAAGCTGCCTGGCCAAAAAACAAAGAACTCACTTGAAACTGCTTCTAAGATCATGTATTAAGGGGAACTTGAATTGATGCTCCCAGGTTGCATTCCTGAGACTTGGCCCAAATAAATTCTCCATTTATATTAACTTTGCCTCAGTTTTTCCTTTAGATTGACAGTTATTTCTAAAGTTGTACAGATGGATTTACCTTGAGTATTAAAATAAGATGTGAGAACGGCAAATGAAGCCAGAGGCTCTCATCACAGTCTCGTAGCCTTCGGAGGCTTCCAAAGGACCATCATTAACTCCAACATTTAGCAGGAGTGCAGCTCTTCAAGATTCACAAAGTGTTAAATCTGTTGCCTGGAATTCCAGAAAGAAGGGAGGAAGCGATCAGTGTGAACTGTGTTCAACTTAAACATAAAGATAAAAGCGATCAGCCTAAGATCAGGAGCGCCAGGAAGAAACTTGAAGCCATGCGCTCTCAAGGAGGCGTTTCCTGCTCCAGGGTTGCCCTGGTCGGCGGGCCAAGCAGCCAGCCGCGCCGACCCTCATCGCGATCAGCTCAGCTCCCGCGCCACGTAGCACTGGGACCTTGACTTCCGAATGCCTGGGAGAAGGAGGCGAAACCGGGCCTCAATCCCGCCCGGGTCCTCATGGGAATTGTAGTTTTCTTCGCAGGAGTAGAGGGAAGGAACTCCCCGGCTTTTGCCCGGTAAATAGCATCTCTTTCGTACAAGTCATTCAAATTATACAAGGAGCCTACGTAGCTTCAACAGAAGATGGGAAGGGGAAGGGGCAAAGTCAGGAAGGCAAACCTAAATATTATGGGCGGGCAGAAAAAGCCAGTACGCATGTGCAAAACGCCGCGGCAGGTAGGCGGGGACGGAAAGGCGGTGCCGAGAGCTGTGTTGTGCCCGGAAGTGCCTTCCTTCCTCCCGGGTCTGCGCGGACGGGGCCTCCTTAACTCATTTGTCCTCGCCCCTCCCCGTCCTGCTACGCGTTTTGGTTCCCGGTTGGTGCTTCCTGTTTGCAGCCGTTGCAGTGAGTTTGTGAGTGACGTACCCCGAGCCGCTGGCGGCTCGGGACCCCGGCCTACCCTCCATTTCGCCTGCCGGGCTGTGGAACTAGCGCGTGCCCCCTCGCAGGCCTCAGCGTCTCCCGTCCGCCTCTCATTCGTGGCGGGGTGCAGCTCATGGCCCCTCTGCGCGCCGCCCCATGCAGCTGGGCTACGGGTCTTTGGGGATCGCCGTCTCCCTGGCCCTCCAGGATCTAAGGCCGTGGTTCAGGAGCTGCTGGGCGTCCAGGGTCTCGGTGGGGGTGGCGTATCTGCCCTTTTTACATCCCCACAAGGCCCCCCTGTCTTGTAGGGAGGCCAGTCAGTGAAGCGCGGAGCCCCGGCGTGTCGAGAGGGAGTCCAGTCTTTGAGGACCGACTGGTCCTGGGCCACCTCTCGCCTCTGCTGTCAGAAGCAGAAGCTACAGCCGTATCCAGTATTTCGGGAGCTGTGTCCCTTTCCTCATGCAAAACAAGGAGACTTGGACTGTGTTTACTAAGGCGCCCCTTATCCCTCCCATTGTGTGAGCGGACAGATGCCTGCAACTTTGGGGAAGCGGCCGGTGCTGTGGAAAAGCTGTGGCTGGGAGTCAGGAGGCCTGGGTTCTAGCCGTGGTTCCAGCACTGACTCGCTGGCCACTCCAGAAAGCTCTAATTGAGGCTGAATTTACGATGATTTCAGATTACACGGTTGAATTAGGGGCTCCATTAGGGCCTTTTTAGCTCAGTGAATAAGATCCTCTGAGCCCGTTTCCCCAAGTATAGAACGAGAGCGTCAATTTGATGACTTTTCAGGTCCCCTCAAAAGTTTTTTTTTTCTTTATTTAAAAATTTTTTTCCTAGGACTGTTAGAGAAATGACTTTGTGTTTTGAATGCTTAGGCAATCACAAAAACTTTTAAATGGATTGTATGTATATTTAGGAAAGTATTATGCTTTGGAGACAGTTTAGCTTTGCTGCTTTCTAGAGCATCTGAGAATGAGGAATAAACTCAGGAAGGATCGCAACTGAGGATGATTATTAAAGTTACCGGGTAAGAGACTGGATGGCCGAAGGAAAAGGGCTAAGGGAAAGATGAAGGAAATGTTTCCAGATAGGATTAGTTCTCCTAAAAATCATGTATGTATCCCAAGAACAGCTGGGCTAATGTGACTAAATTTAGCTTAATTTTTTCCCACTGAAATACTGTGCTCTGTATTTTGTGACCTTTGTTTTACACATTTGGATATTCCACCCTGGTCAGATTGATTCAGAGTGGCCGTCGCATTTGAAAAATGGGCAGACATTTCAACCCCTTAGTCAATTGTGTTTCACCTGTCACTGTCAGGGCAGCTCACTAAGAGTAAAAAAGAAACTTTACGTCACTTTCCAATGCAATTTGGACTGAAAATGAGGCTGTGGATTTAAATTGGCCTGAGATGGACGCCTGTGTCATCAAGAAGGAACATCTAGGAAAGCTAAAGGTGCTTTGGAAGTAAATAAGAGCAAAAGGTCAGAGTGACAAGTAGGTGGACTGACAGAGCAGGATTAATGAAAGATTGTATTAATTGGGGCCCGCATGGTGGCTCACGCCTGTAATCCAGCACTTTGGGAGGGCAAGGCGTGTGGATCACTGGAGGTCAGGAGTTCAAGACCAGCCTGATGAACATGGAGAAACCCCATCTCTACTAAAAATACAGTTAGCCAGGCGTGGTGGCGCATGCCCGTAATCCTAGCTACCCAGGAGGATGAGGCAGGAGAATGGCTTGAACCCAGGAGGCAGAGGTTGCGGTGAGCCGAGATCGCTCCATTGCACTCCAGCCTGGGCAACAAGAGCTAAAACTCCGTCTCAAAAAAACAAACAGCAAAAAACAGAATGTATTATGTAACTTCTGAAAGCTTAAGTAAACCTTAAATTGTCTAGTTCAAAACAATTCAATGAATGAATACTGCTCCCTCTTTTGAATGAGAATAACCTTTGCAGTTATTCTATAGTTGTTTTATATTTGTTGGGCTATTTTAATGCTTAGGTAAGTTTCATTTACATGATATTTTAGGATCTTATATAGGAAACATCTTTTCTAGTCATGGGATTGATAAAGTCCTTGAGTACTAACTTGGAAGATTCTTCGATTATCAATTGACAGAAGTGTGTTTTCCTTTCAACTAAAAAAGTGTCATTCATGGTTTTTAAACTCTGCTAGGAGGATATTTGTGACGTGAAATGGATATTTGTGAGGTAAATTTAGGTGTTAGAACTAATGCAAATATTGTAGTGAAGGAAGGTTTTATTTTTTAATTTTAAATTACTTATTTGAAAATTTTATTTAAAAATTTTAGCAAACAGTTGGTTGAGCATCACAGAAATGTGATTCACTTCTTGCTAGTCCTTATCCAGCCGTATAACCTTGGATAGGCCTCCTGTCTCTTTGTACTTCAGTTTCCTGATGTGTAGATTGAGGAGTCTGTGTGAGATAATCTGATTTTGTTATCTAGTTAGTATACTTGGGAATCATGTACAGGGATCAGAAAGCTGAGAAAAAGCCTTCTGAGTCCAGAATGTGTGTATGTGTGTGTGAAAAACATATATATTGTCCTCTGAGAATACACCTTTTTAAAATAAATTCATTTGAATGTAATTAAAGCAGTAACATAAACCAAAACAGCCTCAGGCAGACCTTAACCCTGGCATACATAAGCTACCTAAATAAGAGAGCATGTTACGCCAAGCACAATTTTCAAGTACAGACGGTACAAAATCCTCTTAAAGGCCATAGGGGCTAAATTGTTAAATTCATTTTTCTGCATTTCAGGGAAAGAGATAAATCCTTAGACCCAAGGAAGTCAGTTTTTATTATGGTTCTGTAGTTTATTTTTGGCATACATTCACAGGTGTGCCTATGGCTCTATTCTTAATCCTTTTCCTTTGGGATGGCTCCAAGAGTAGTACAAATTTGTAACTCTGTAATTTAGCTCTTTAATTTTTTCTGTGCTGCACTGGAATTGTGTTTTATCTTAAGTCCACACTGGATCCTCAGGATGGATCCAGTGAGGATTTTGAAAGAAGCATAATTCCTTTGACTTCTTCTAGAATTAATTTACCTATTAAATAAAAAGGAAAGGATTCGTCTTTTATTTCAATTCCTCAGGCTAACATTTCAATATAAACTGATAAATGCTGTGAGCATTATTCAGAAAGCCACATTCAATTTGTGTGACAGTAACAGCATAGGAAGGACAGTGCAACAAGGGCACAGGTACATGATACCTCTGCGAAGAAAAGCGCTACAGGTTGGTTTATTTATTCTGCAAAACAAACAACTACAGTAGGAATGTAGTACGTTTTTGGCTCTTGTCCATTTGTTTCTTGGATTTAAGCTGGTTCTGTGACCAGAACTACCATCACCATACCCTGACATTTTGGGCAGAAATTTGGGAGACTAAGATAACGACTATTTTAATTTTATGTGTATAGCTAGAAGTTGAAACAAGAATACATTGGCATTGTTATTGCTCTCTGGGCTCTCCCTGATTTTTGGACACACGCTTACTTTTCCAGAGCTCTCATTTTAATCAGTAGTCCATGATTACCTAATGGAAACATCTACTGTGTAGAGTTTTGGTTGAGGATATGAGAATTTCTAAGACTTTGGAGTAGTTAAAAGACAACAGAGAAATTTATCCCATCATAATTTCTGTATTTTAAGCACATACTAGATTTGTCAGGGCTGAAGAACAAATGGCTGGTGTTGTAATTCATCTATGAATTCAACAAACACTTAGAGATGGCCCCCAAAATAGCAGTTATTCCACTTGGCTTTGGCGATTCATTGTTTAGCAGAGTGCATATAGTTCCTGCCTTCTTGGGATTTGTGATCTGTGCTTCTGGGATAGTTACATTGAATAAGTAATTAGAAATGTGATGACTGTTTTGAAAGGTAAAGTGCTATGGAAGCCTATAAAAGGGGCACTTAATTTAGTCTGGTGGGAAATGATTTTGAGTTTAAAAAATGAAGGCTGAGAAGAATTTAATATGCTCACAGTACAAAGTACATTGTTTCACTTTATGTATTTATTCCCAAAGTTGAGGCTTTCTCTCAATTTTAATTAGGTCTTTATTAAGTTTGTATTTTGTACACATTTTTATAACTAGCACAGATGTAAACGGCTTTATCAGTTTGTGTTTTTTTAATTTTGGAATTGGGGTCTTGCTCTGTCACCCCGGCTGAGTGCAGTGGTGATCATAGCTCACTGTCACTTTGAACACTTGGGCTCAAGCTATTCTCCCTCAGCTTCGCAAGGTGTGAGGTACATGAGAGTACTCCATCCACCTCTGACATTGGCCCTGTGCTCTCATTCAGCCAATTCTGTTAGTACTGCCTCTTACCAAAATATTTGCTTACCCACAAGTTAGATAACAAGCATGGGGAATGCCTGGCGCACAGCATGTATGGAATGAGTATTAGGATTTCAGTAATGCCACATTCAGAAAGCCAAGAAAATATGAAGAGCCGTACATATAGGGTAAATTAGGAGAGAATTTTGAGAGCTACATCATCAAGGATTAAAATTCTGCTGTTAGTTTTGTCTCTGTGACATGTGGTCATCTAGTCTTAATGCTTATTCCTTCAAAAATGCATTCTTTTCATTTTCCTCCCTTTATACCAAATACTCATTCTCTTGCACTAGTTTCTGAAATGGTCTTCTGTTATATCTGCCCCATATGCTGTTTTTAAAACTGATATTGAAATGCTGTTTTACTCATCGTACCTTATTGCTCCAGAATTTTTAAGAGCATCCTGCTTCCCCAGGAAACAATGACATTGAATGTAAATCATGCTTGGAGCCCCTGGGATTGGCAAATGTTTTTATAAGAAGCCAGATAGAAAATATTTTGGGCTTCTAAGCCATGTGATATCTTAACTACTCAACTCGGCCCTCGTGGGAAAGCAGCCTTAGATAATACCTATGGGGGTGGCTATTGTCAATAAAACCCTACTTACAAAAACAGGTGGCTGGCTCAGCCTATAGTTTGCTAACCCTGAGAACTTGGCAGCAAAAAGAAGAGATAAAATAGTCGTTAGAACATAGAGCACAATCAAATAAAGTTTTTTCCATATAGGTGAGATCTGATAATGTGTTTAGGCAGAAAGGAGAAAACTTGTGAAGAAGGCGAGACTAAACCTGTTGATATTTTTGCTTGGGGGCCAGGTTAGAGATAGGATCAGTTGTTATATTTTGATGATTTATTCCTAAAAAGGAAGAGAGACACCATTAATAGCTAAATCATCAAATACTTATAGAGGAGAAAGAATGAATTCAGATGCATTGAGGCAGTTGAGAGTACCTGTGAGGATGTGTTTGATTTCCTTGGGAAAATGAAAGAAGAAGTAGGAAGAGGGCAGAGGATAACTGGAAGCTTAAAATGTGGAAAGGATGTTTAAGTGCTGTGGGGAGTCCTTTCAGGCAGTGGTTACCAGTGTTTTGTGTTTTTTGTTGTTGTTGTTTTTGAGACGAGGTTTCGCTCTTGTTACCCAGGCTGGAGTGCAATGGCGCGATCTCGGCTCACCGCAACTTCCGCCTCCTGGGTTCAGGCAATTCTCCTGCCTCAGCCTCCTGAGTAGCTGGGATTATAGGCACGTGCCACCATGCCCAGCTAATTTTTTGTATTTTTAGTAGAGACGGAGTTTCACCACGTTGACCAGGATGGTCTTGATCTCTTGACCTTGTGATCCACCTGCCTCCGCCTCCCAAAGTGCTGGGATTACAGGCGTGAGCCACCGTGCCCGGCCTACCAGTATTTTGAAGATGACAATTTGTTTAACTTCAAAACAATTTGTGGACCACCCCATGATTGTAGTTATGTTTTTAGTATTCACCAATGGATAATATGCATATTAGAAAAAGCTACTAGTCAGTTCTCTCTTAGATAACTTTGTATTTTATTAACCACAAAATTGACTGCACATTTGAAAAATGTACATGAGAGATAGTCTTTATGTAATGCATTTCCCTGGGTACCCACTGAGATAACTAATTTTGCAGCTTCCCAGGAGGCTGAAAGCTCATAAGTTAGAAATCATTGCACTCTAATGAATCCACAATAAGAGAATAAACAATTGCTCAGAAGTAGTATTCTGTCAAAATTAAAATGGACTTGTAATGAACTCACTTTGAAGGATTCCGTAACTTTTCATCCAGTAGTACTTGACAGCTTTGAGCAAGATGACAGAAACAAAGTGATCTAGGGTTAGGCATAACATTATATAGAAGGCCAGAATAAACATTTAGCTTTTTCTGTCTCTAAATTACCTTTTCCTGAGAAACTGGGTGTGAACCCAGTTTCATTAATTATTCTGCAGATGAACCACATCCAGGCATTGGGGAGGTGGAGGACGTAGAACAGCTAAATCAATGTTTGATCCAACACTTTCATCTCATTACAATGAGTTTGATTTTTCTTTTCTTTTTATTTCATGGAATACATGAGAATCTCTTAACTCTTGGAGTTTCCAAGGAGTCATACCTCGTGACTTTAGTTGGTGGAAAAGAACAAAACTAAAATGTTGTATGGCCAAAGCCACAAAGGGAAGGATCTGCAATTTACATCCTTGGAGCTACCATCTGTACTGTACTGTTGTGATCTACTGATTGGCATAGGCAGAGTAGTAGGGGTCAAGTGACAGAATCTGTGCCAACAGTCTCCAGGTTCAGAACGATTCAATACCCTAATGGTAGCTCTCCAGCAACCAGCACATGGTGATTGTACCAACTTGTTGCTCAGTTACAGTGCAGGGCCAGTGATTGATTGGTTTAAGTCAAGGCCATGGTTGAGATTATTTGTCTTTAGTCTAATAACAGTAGAATTTGAGTCTCCAGGGAAGGAGCTACTTGACCAAATTAAACTAGTAGCAGATAGAGTGCAAATGACAACATATTATACCATCAAGATGTTCTTAGAGCAGTGTCTGGATGGAGCTGTTATACTGCCATCAGTTGTGACTGATATTGTTGTATTGAAGGAGAAAGAGAAGCTTGTTTAGAAAGCACTTTGAAAGCTTTTTGAATATGGGTATGCCCTGTGTCACCCTGTTATGGTTGAATTTTCTCCTTGGAAATTCCCAAACTTGGCAGCAGTCTTGAACTCTCAACTTCAAGTGATCTGCTCTCCACGGCCTCGCGAAGTGCTGGGATTACAGGCATGAGCCATTGCACCCGGCCAGGCTTAGGATTTTAAAAATATATTCATTTTGAAAATGGAAGAATATGACATTTTTGAGTTGAAGATACCTTATTAGTTCCTAGTTTGTGAATTTTATGGTATGTTAATGTAGAGCTCCTTCAGTATGTATAATCTGGAACACAGCCCCTTTAGTTTGTCAGCCTTTGGTACATAGGGGATACCTAACAAATTATAGGTAAATTTAACTAGAATTCTTCCTTTGTGTATAGAGTAGAGCTCTTCACATAGTATTATTTTAAGTGAAATAATGGCTTAAGGTAAATTCTTTTGAAATTGAAATTATGGCTTCAACAACTTAGGGCAGAAAGCCTTCTGTTTTATATCAAATCCCTTTTCTCCAAAAACATGTACATAAAAGTTTTGGATATAATCCTACAGGATGAAGAACTCATCTAGAAGCAGTTGCTGTATTCCTGACATTTATTAGGCACTCAACCAAGACTTGATAACTAATTAAAATTTGAGTAGAGTGGGTTACCTATTTGAATTTTAGGTGATATTGATATAATTCACATATTTTATTTGATCTGGGTCTTCACATATACAATTTTTTATTCCTGTGTGGGTTAATTTCAAACTTGCCTGGCTGATATATACTCATCCCTCAAATATCAGTTTAAAAGGTCACTTCTGAATGAGGTGTAATGGTCATAGGTTCTCAGTGGTTTTTGTTGGGTCTGTTAGAACTCTACAGTGCTTTGACTTTGGGTAACTTAATTATTGGTTAAAAAAAGATACATTTTAAAAATTAAAGTTATAAAGCTAAAATTGGAGAATGGATAAACTTAATTTAATAGGCAAATATTTTGATAAAAGTCTTCATAACTACACGAAAGGTTCATGATCATTGTGGCAAACATGGGCTTATTATCTTCCACTCTGGTTTTTTCTGTTTTTTGTTTGTTTGTTGTTTTTCTTTTTCGAGGAGGTCTCTCACTCTGTTGCCAAGGCAGAGAGCAGTGGTGCTATCATGGCTCACTGCAGCTTTGACCTCCCAGGCTCAAGCAATCCTCCCAAATAGCTGGAACTATTGGCATGTGCCACCACACCCAGTTAATTTTTGTATTTTTTGTAGAGATGGGATTTTGCCATTAGGGTATTGCTACAACCACCAGTGTGAAATCACAGGCCCATATGGGAGATAAAACAGCCCTGGGAGATAAAAGTTGAGTCCAGCCTCTTCCCCCATTTTGCAGATGGAGACATTTAAGGCCCAGAGAAGGAAATGGAATTGCCAAAGGTTCTACAGTGAGTTCATGGGAGGGGCAAGACTAATGAGAAAACACACATCTCTTGGGCACTCACTGGGCACTGTGCTTTGCATACATGATCATATCCCATCCTCAACTCTGAGGCTCAGAGACACAGGGAGTTGCCCAGGATCACACAGTTAGGAGATGGCAGAGCTGGAATTTGAAAGCCGGTCTGATTTTCCACACAGATCGTTTGACCACTGACACTTTAGGGTTGCCTAAAACCCAGGCCCCGTCTCCCCGCTTCTCTCAGTCCACTCTATCCCTGTAGTCCTCTGTTATGTTACATTGACTCCTAAAGAAAAAAGATCCAAATGGACACAGTTCTAGAGGAGTTTCAAAGCACTTGTGTCTTCCTGCACATCATCTCAGGAGATCCTGACACCAGACCCAGGTTGTAGCCTGGGCAGAAATAGCAGGAACTCTTGGGTTTCCTTTAAGACTTCATCACTGTATGCAAGAGCTGAGCAAAGTAGGCAGGTTAAGAAATTCCTGTGGTAGGAATGGGGACCCATGACCTGCCAATAAGGAAGAACAAACATATAGAACTTGGCCAGGGAATCTTTAATCCAGAAGAAAAAAGTGTATCTTCTCTCTTCATATGTTTTAAATAGAATAATGAGATAATCCTGAATTTTATTTTATTTATTTATTTTTTATTTGGAGATGGACTCTAGCTCTGTCGCCTAGGCTGGAGTGTATTGTTGCAATCTCAGCTCACTGCAACCTCTGCCTCCTGAGTTCAAGCAATTCTCCTGCCTCAGCCTCCCAAGTAGCTGGGACTATAGGTGCCCACCACACCTGGCTAATTTTGTGTTTTTAGTAGAGACAGCGTTTTGCCGTGTTGGCCAGGCTGAGATAATCCTGGATTTTAAAAATTCAGCTCTAGTGTTTATATTTTAATTTATTCTTAGAAGTGTAGAAGGGTCTGGAGGAAATACAAAATGTGAGTCTTATTTTATGATTTGCTATGGTAAGCCACATTTAATCCCTTTCTTCAGTGAAAGGATTTGCAAAGGATACAACACAATGTACCTAACTGTTGCTTTCATTGTATTTTTTTCCAGATTTTTATTTAGTTTATAATGTTACAACAGTAAGGGAAATTAAAAGGAATGAAAATTATCCATAATCCTAGCATCCTAACAAATGAACTGTTCAGTGTTCCTCTTACTTGCAGGCAAAATTTACATAGGTGATTTATGAGTGTAGTTAAAGCTTCGTATTCGCTCAGCTTTCTCACTTGACAGTTTATCATTATAATGCCACAGGTCTTCTTAATTATCATTTAAAAATAAATGTTTTAATAATTATCGTAATGGCTGCTTAATACTCTTTTAAGTGGATATATCATTGCCTAGTATTATATATTTAGAAGGACTCCAATTTTTCACTATCACAGATAATCCTAAAGTACATGTCTTCATACATATCACATTCTCCTATTTTTGTCATTTCTTTAAAATCCCCAGATCTAGATTTGCTGGGTCAAAGGTCCTGAATGCTCGCATGGCTCTTGATATATACGGGCAAATCGCTTTGCAAAAGGCTTTTATACATTTACTTTGCCTCTGGTAATGGATGAGTAGAATAGTCTCATACTATGCTTTTGCCATAACCGAGGGAAATCTACCAAGAAATGAAAGATAACTTGATAAGCCACATTTTTAACTTCATTTACAAATGGCTTGACAGACCTGTTGCAGGGTCTCTATTCTCTTGTCTCTGTTGCTGTCATAAATTAAGTGCCTGTACCAAAAATTTGGGAAAGTGACAAAGCAGTTATTATACCATTTTATAGCTGAGAAACTGATTCTCAACTCAGGGTTTTGTCCGATAGGCTGCACAGTGAGTAAGTGGAAGTAATATCATCAGCTGTTATGAACCAAAGATGATGCACTGGTTTATTACAACCTCCTGGAATGTCTTCTGGATTTTGAAGCTGGGAAAGCATGTTCACATCAGGTATTTTTGTAACTTATTTTCAACAGGCCTTATAGACATTTTAGCCTCCAAATTGCTACTCAAAGCATGGGCTTACTTTGGAGGAGACTGGGTATATTTTGTTCGCCAGAGAATCTGTGACTTTCAGAGCTGGAAGGAACATCAGATATTCTCATTATCCTGGCTTATTTTGGAGATGGATAAACTGAGGCCCAAAGAAGAGAAAGGATTTTGCCAGGTTCATTCATGGAGGTGGCCGCAGAGTTAGGATCTACTTTCTGATTTAAAATGTTGCCTAGGCCGGGTGCTGTGGCTCACATTTTTTTTTTTTTTTTTTTTTTGAGACGGAGTTTCGCTCTTGTTAACCCAGGCTGGAGTGCGATGGCGCGATCTCGGCTCACCGCAACCTCCGCCTTCTGGGTCCAGGCAATTCTCCTGCCTCAGCCTCCTGAGTAGCTGGGATTACAGGCACACGCCACCATGCCCAGCTAATTTTTTTTTTTTGTAATTTTAGTAGAGACGGGATTTCACCATGTTGACCAGGATGGTCTCGATCTCTTGACCTCGTGATCCACCCACCTCGGCCTCCCAAAGTGCTGGGATTACAGTCATGAGCCACCACGCCTGGCCCTATGGCTCACATTTTTAATCCCAGAACTTTGGGAGGTCAAGGCAGGTGGATTGCTTGAGCTCAGAAGTCGAGACAAGCCTGGGCAAAATGGTGAAACCCTGTCTCCATGAAAAACACAAAAATTAGCAGGGTGTGATAGTACGCACCTATAGTCTAGCTGTTTAGGGGGCAGAGCCAGGAGAATAACTTGAGCCCAGAAGGTTGACGCTGCTGTGAGCCATGTTTGCACCATTGCACTTCAGCCTGGATGACAGAGACACTGTCTCAAAAATAGATAAATCACAACAACAAAAAAACTACTTTAAAACTTGCCTAGATCATGTAAGTGGACAACTTGTGTATTGTGAGATATTCAAAGATGAATATTTTTTCTTTTTTTGGTGGGGGGGGTTTGAAGTCTCACTCTGTCACCCAGGCTGGAGTGCAGTGGCACAATCTTGGCTCACTGCAACCTCACCTCCCAGGCTCAGGCGATCCTCTTATCTCAGACTCCTGAGTAGCTGGGACTACAGGCAAACGGCACCAAGTCCAGCTAAATTTTTGTATTTTGGTAGAGATGAGGTTTCACCATGTAGTCCAGGCTGGTCTTGAACTGCTTGCCCAGGCTCTGTTCTTGGCTCCTGAGCTCAAGCACTCCGCCTACCTCAGCTCCCCAGAGTGCTGGAATTGCAGGCGTGAGCCACTGTGCCTAGCCCTTAAGTGAACAGTTTTTAAAAACAATGAGAACTATTTGAGAAACACTGGATACCTTCTGTTTCTTTTGGAGCTCCCTGGTGAAATAGTCTGGGTAATACTATGTTAATATGAAACAGATTTTTTTTTGTTAAAGGATTTCCCATAGTCTGATACCCTAAATAACAATTTTTTATTAATTATTTAGTTTTAGTGTTTTGGGAAATTTTTTTTTAACTTTGAGCATATATGTTCTTTTTATTAGATTTTATTTCTAGCATGTGCGGTTTATTTATTTATTTATTTATTTTTTACCTGGTAATCAGTGTCACTGTATACTTGCCAGAGGTATGTGTACACTTAATGATATATTTCTTGGTGATTGTTCCACACTGGTACTTTAAGAGCTTCCTTGTTGTTCTTCATATATTTTTCCTACAGCAGGTATTCTGATCAATATGCATTTGAATGTCCAATTGGAATATAGTCTCTACCCTCAGTCTCCTGGAAAAATGAAGTGTGTTCATTTTGACTGCTAAAAGAAGGGAGCAGGTGCACTGGGAAAACATACAAAGTTTGATTGGAAACAGTGGTGCCTGTGATTTCAACACTCTGAGAAGCCGAGGTGGGCTCATCACTTGAGCTCAGGAGTCTGAGATCAACCTGGGCAACATGGTGAATTCTCGTCTCTACTAAAAATATAAAAATTAGCCAGGTGTGGTGGCGCATGCCTGTAATTGCAGCTATTCCAGTGGCTGAACCATGAGAATCATTTGAACCTGGGACACAGAGGTTGTGGTGAGCCAAGATCACACCACTGTACTCCAGTCTGGGTGGCAGAACAAGACTGTCAAAAAAAAGAAAAAGATATAAAGTGTGGTAGGCAAGAAGAGGAAAGAGATCATCTCAGCTGCTTTTGGATATTGGAAGTGAGCTCAGACCCGAAAACTGAGAAGCTGCCTGTTGCAGGTGAGTCTGGATGATGGACAGTGACAATCAGTTATTCACGCGTGAATCTGACCAACATGAACATTTAGATACTGAACACAAAAGCTTGATTTTCATTAGCTATATTTGTTGCCCATATATTGGAACAGATCTTAAAGTGGAAGTCAGATGTGTATTATTAGATATCATTTGGAGTAATGAGTATATTTTCCTAATCTTTCCAACACCAACCTAACAATCCATCTCCAAAAGCATGCATACTAATTAATTTGTTTTTCATATAGTAATAAGATTAACAACTTCGAATTTACACGGGGTACTGAGTCATGCTCAAATAAAACAAGTTCTATTGAGAAAAATGGAATGCAATAGCATCATGTCCCACCCGGCAATCCAGGTTTATGTGTGTTTGTCTGTCTTTGCTACATGTATTTTTGTCAGGATCTCACTGTAAACAAGATGGGTTCTTTCATGTTGCTTAGGTAAATTTGTTTAATGAACCACAAAGTCACTAAATATTGCACAAATCTGAGTGCCCTGCAGTGTGGCTGGGAATCTTTTAAGCTGCTTCAAAAAATGAAACGTGTTCACCAAAAGAACCACATTGGGAGAAAACACTCAACATATCAAGGCTCTTAAGATATACAGCCTGGCTTAATTCTATCCTGGGCAATAGATTAATTTGTGGTGGAATGGCATGTAACCTTGCACAATCACTCTACCTTGCCTAGTCTGGGCCTTAGTTTCTTCCTCTCAACTGGATAGTCAGCCAAGTCTGTGAGTGTCCTACATGCTAATCATCAGAATCAACTGTGGGTGGAGGGAGGCAAGTGAGACCTTTAAAATACACATGGGGGCCAGGCACGGTGGCTTACACCTATAATTCCAGCACTTTGGGAGGCCAAGGCGAACGGATCACAAGGTTGAGAGTTCCAGTTCAGCCTGGCCAACATAGTGAAACCCTACTAAAAATACAAAACTTACCTGGGGCTGGGCACGGTGACTCACAACTGTAATCCCAGCACTTTGGGAGGCCAAGGTGGGCAGATCACTTGAGGCCAGGAGCTTGAGACCAGCCTGGCAACATAGGGAAACCCTGTCTCTACTAAAAATACAAAAATTAGCCCAGCATGGTGACACACTGTAATTCCAACTACTCGGGAGACTAAGGCACAAGAATTGCTTGAATCCAGGGGGCAGAGGCTGCAGTGAGCCAAGATCATATTACTACATTCCTACCTGGGAAGACAGTGAGACTCTGTCTTAGAAAACCCAAACAAAACACATGGCCAACCTATCCTAAATTCCAGTCCTACTAGACCCCAAAACCCCAATCTCTGAGGTGTGGGGGTGTAAGAATTTGTACTTTTAAAAACAAATTTCTCATGTGATTTGATGATCATCAAGGTTTGATATCCTCTGGACCAGACAGATTACCACTAAGATCTTTTCCAGATTTCATGACCATTAATACTGATGATTCTAAAAACTCATCTTGGAAAATACTATTGTGTGTCTGGATGGAAGAAGAGCACTGGTAAGGGAAGCAGGAACCTGGCTTTGAGCTCTAGGGCTCCCCACAAGCTCTCCAGGGGACTCTGGAAAAACCACTTCACTCTGGACCTTAGTTTCTTCATCCACAAAGTAAAGGCATTAGAGCAGGTAGTGTCAGGGCCCTTCCACTCACATTCTGCAGCTTAATTCTGATTTGTTTGGGATTCATTGTTTGGACATAAACCACCCTTATGTGATAGTCGAATACAGAGACTGGTCAGGGAGGCTGGTTGGGTTCATCTGCTGTAGCCTACCTATTCTTCCTGAGGCCCAGGGAGTCTCTTCTACCTTCTACCCTTGGTGGGTCCCACCCTATCCAGCACTTTCAGAGGGGCTGAGGGTATGTTCTGGCCCAGCGCCAAGCACTTCCTCACACCTCACTCCTTTCCTCCATTTAGGACTCAACTCATTCCAGCTCTTCCTGTTCCTTCAAGACAAGATCTATGAAAAATCCCTTGATACCTTATCCCCCACATTACCAGCCCAGAGATCCCCTACTCAGCAAATCCTCAAAAGTATCTGAGAAATGAATGAATAATTGCATGGGTGAATGTCATATGAACTTCCTTCCAGCTCTAACATTCAATACCTCTGTCCTCAGAGGGTTCATCCTCAGTGAGGTAAAAGAGGACAATGTCTTGTCAGGTCTACTTATTGTATAGGACCATGCAAAGAGTGGGCCCCTTCGGCCAAACATCGAGCCTGTCAGTTTTACGAACTTCATATAAATGGGATTATATTGGATGTATTCTCTGTGTCATGCTGCTTTTTTTTTTTTTTCTTCAAGACACAGTTTCACTCTGTCCCCCAGGCTAGAGTGCAGTGGCACAAACTTGGCTCACTAGAACCTCCGCCTCCCAGGTTCAAGCGATTCTCATGCCGTGGCCTCTTGAGTCACTTGCTGATGACAGGTGTATGCCACCACGCCCAGCTAATTTTTATATTTTTAGTAGAGACAGGGTTTCACCATATTGGCCAGGCTGGTCTCAAATGCCTGCCTCAAGTGATCTGCCCACCTTGGCCTCCCAAAGTGCTGGGATTACAGGCGTGAGCCACTATGCCTGGCCTGTGTCTTGCTTCTTTCAACCAACATTATATTCTATATAATAGCAATTCTATATAATTGCTAGGATGCAGGTTGTCAGCATTCACTTTTAATTACTCTATATACATGTTTAATACATATTTAATTATGCATTTAATTAAACTACATAAAATGCTTTATGCATTTTCAGTATCTGCACTATACTTCATAAAAAAAGAATTGAGGGAGTCTAAGACAATTACCATTTGTTTTCCAGAGAAACCTAGAATAAGTTTTCTCTTTTATCCACTATTAGAAAAAGTGGCTGGGTGTGGTAGTTCACACCTGTAATCCCAGTACTTTGTGAGGTTGAGGCAGGACAATCACCGGAGCCCAGGAGTTTGAGAGCAGCCTGGCCAATACGGTAAAACCCTGTCTCTACAAAAAAATACAAAAATTGGCTGGGCATGCTGGTGAACGCCTGTAGTCCCAGCCACTGTGGAGGACGAGGCAGGAGAATCACTTGACCAGGGGAGGTTGAGGCTGCAGTAAGTCAAGATCACAACACTATACTCCAGCATAGGCCACAGAGCGAGACTCTGTCTCAACAACAACAACAAAAAAAAAGGTGACCCAGAACCTGCAAGATTCTTACAAAAGGTAAGAACCTTGGGGAAGTTTTTCACATGGGAGCTTTATGTCAGAGCTTGCATTTTTGTCCCTCCTTGGTGGGTATTCCGTCAACAACAGCATTGCCCTCACTATATGGGTCACACGTCACATGGGGGGAGCTTTCCTACCAAGTTGGCCTAGCCTGTCTGAGCTTCAGTTTCTTCATGTGGAAAACGATGATGTCACTGGCGGCACGGTGCGGGGTGCAGAGGATGCCCGCATAAGTAAGGTTTGAGGACCCGACTTGCCATACACTATGATTGGGTCTAAATCTGTGCATGTGGCAAGGTAACAGTGTGGAAAATAGGAGTTGTAGGCTTTGTGCTGCTAAACCTGAGAAAGAGTTGGGAGAAATCATTTTCCACTAGGAGACTCAGTTCAGCAACACTTCCGTATTACCTGCCTGGGCTGCCTCATGCATTGCTCTGTGGGGAGTCAGGGTTTAATGAAGTAGGATAAACCACACACGCACATTAGTTAGCCTCAGCACAGGCAGGATTAACTTTACACTCCATTTGCAAGAGCAAAGCTCCTCTCCTAGAGTTTGTTATAAAGGGATTTAGAATCACAGAATGATAGAGCTGGAAGAGAGCCCCTAAGACATCATCATAATCCTGCCCCGTCATTTTACAGAGGGTCAAACTGAAGTCCAGAGAGCAGAAGAGACCTGTCCAAGGTCACCAACTGAATTAGCACAGAGCTCAGGTTGGACCCCAGTCTCCAGATCCCCAGGCCTGCATCCTCTCCATTTTCTCCTGTGTTGCTTAACCACTGCCTTGTAACAAAGGCGGGGTAGCACATTTCTCTTTCTGGCTTTGCTCTGTACCCCTTGGTATACCCTCCATATTCAGCTTTCATGGGTGTATGAGCAAGATTTGCATGTACCCAACTGAGCCAGCCTCCCGCACAACAGTGTAGCTTTGCACTTGGTGTTTCCTTTGTCTTAACTGGTCCTCCCAGAAAGACTCTGCTCAGTGTTGCCTTCCCCAGGAATTCTCTGAATCATGCCGTCTCCCATCCCTCTAGACTTTAAGCTCCTCTGGAGTAGGGACTACATCTTTGTATCTCACTGCCTCGCAGAGGAATGGCATGTGGCAGACACAGGGTAAACATTTGTTGAATGAATAAATGGACAGATGAAATAATTAAATGCATGAATGAATGAAGTCAAAGGCAGGTAGGAGGCAATAGGGGTCTCAAGCAAGCCTGAGCTCCTAACTTGCCAATTTAGCTCAATTCCTTCTTTATGGAGCTCTGGCCTGTTCTAGATGTTTTCCAAGACTACCATGGCCCATGAGCTGTCTCCTTGGGATGGCCTGGACTCTGACCACATATTGCTGAGTTGAGTCTATCATACCTCTGGGCTTTCATCTCAGGGCCCAAATAGACTGGCAATGAGCCATCATTTCTTTCCTTGCCACCATCTTCAACGAGTCTTCCCAGGGTTGTCTGCACTGGGGACACACCTAGGAAATTTCCATGTAAGACTTGAAGCTGATTTCTTCAGGGTGACACTGCCCCTCAGGGTGAAATGTCAACACAAATTCCCCTGGAGCAACTCAATTTTAGCAACTCTTGATTAAAGAAGACACCTTCAGATGTCCCTTGTTTATATACAGACTCCTGAGAGGGAAAGTTGGGAGTGTGTATAAATGTGTAAGTACCTATATACGTGTACATGACTGTGGAATAGGCATTGAAGTAGAAGGAGACTTGAGTTTCAGCCCCAACTTTGTCAACATGGCAAAATGGTTAAGCATATGGACTCTGGAATTGTACTGCTGGGTTTGAATCCCAGCTGTACCATTTACTAGCTGTTCAGCCTTGGGGAGGTTACCTGACCATGGTATGCTTCATTTCCCCACCTGTAGAATGGAGACAATGATACTCTCTGCGTTATAGAGCTGGTGTGAAGAATATATGAGGTAGGCTGGGCTCTGAGGCTCATACCTGTGATCTCAGTGCTTTGAGAGGCCAAGATGAGAGGATCGCTTGAACCCAGGAGTTTGAGGCTGCAGTGAGCTATGATCATGGCACTGCACTCCAGTGTGGATGACAGAGTGAGACCCAGTCCCTGATTAAAAAAAAAAAAAAAGAATATGTAAGGTAATGTATGTAATGTGTTTAGAGTAGTGCCAGGCACATAGTGTTAACTAAATGTTAGGAATTACTATTTTCTCAGACCCTTAGTTAATGTTATTCCTCCTGCCCGGAATGTCTACCCGCTGGTTTTCTGCATGCCCAGCTTCTCCTTCAAGTCTCCATTTAATGTCGTCTCCTCAGGGAGATCTTCCTTGCCCTTATCTAGAATATATTCTCCCCCTCACTCCTGCATCACTGAATACATGGAGGATGGACCATGGTGTCTCTGGTCTAAAGCTCTCTCGTTCTTACCTTGTGTATTTTCTAAATGTTACCACTTTTTAGGCACACTGTTCCTCCCATAAGCCTAGGCTATTCATTTATGTGATTAACACAGTGTAACAAAGTTGTAAACTGCAGGCATATTTGATTTGGAACAGGCTGCAGACTCTGGCACCATCGAGTGGGCCACTGACCATATTTCCAGTTTGCATCTGGTCCTTCTTGTTACATCTTTGCTCTGTGCCAGGAGTATCATTGCCAAAAGTGGCTGGAGACTTAAAAGTTTACTTTTTCCTTTTGTCAGAATCAGTAAACTGGATTGTTAAAGTTTTGTCTTCCCTCTTTGAAACTCCCAAAAGAAAAGAAATCACAAGAACAAATCTTGGCATACAAAGAAAATGAGACAAAGAATGTAATCATAATAATACTAGTGAATGGTTTTCAGACTGACATCTGTACATTAAGAATATGTAAAAATACCAATTTCATGCTCTGACAACTTATTCTGCATCAGGGGTGGGATAATGCCTTGGGAATGCCAAATGTCAAAGCATTACATAATGTCAGCTATTCATGTGCTTCTTTGATGAGATATCACTGGGAATGGGAATTCCTTAAGGGAGAGGGAAAGCATGAAAAAAGTAAGGAAAGCAGGCATAAAGGAAGAGAGAAGATTTCAAATCGTAATGAAAATTCTTTACATAATGTGTAAAGAAAAGTTAATGCATATATTTTTAAACAATATAGGTAATCCCAAATCTAAGTCAACCATATGTAGGGGTTACTTACCTCCATTTTGATTTTCCATAGTTTAGGAAGAGATGCACAGCAGCACAGCGTTGCATAGTGTATCCACCATACAGATCAAATAGAGGCAAATTACCTTAAGAGCTCAGACACCAGTACAACAATTAAGAGCTGGGTGTGCTGGTTGATGCCTGTAATCCCAGCACTTTGGGAGGCTGAGGCAGGACAATTACTTGAGCCCAGGAGTGCAAGACTGCCTGGGCAACACAGGGAAACCCATCTCTACAAAAATTTTAAAAATAGGAGGCACGGTGGTGCACACCTGTAGTTCTCTCTCAGGAGGCTGAGGTGGGAAGATCACTTCAGCCCAGGAGTTTGAATTTAAAGTGACAGTGATTGTACCACTACACTTTAGCCTGGGCAACAGAGCCAGAGCTAAAAACAAATACACATGCACACACACACAACCCCCCCCCCAAAAAAACAATTAGGAAATGATGAATTTTGAATATTACCATATGAAAAAAATATTTAATTGTAAGTTCATATAATTTAATTTTTAAGAATGAGTGGGGTTAACAACCAGCTTGCAAAATTTCTTAAAGTTAGACAATCAGCTGTCATAAGCCAGCTGAGCACAATGCTGCCCGTATCCCACCATGAGTGTGTTACCCCTCACCTGGTCTCAGGCAATGGTATCCTAACTGGCCAGTAACATCTAGTCTCACCTTTCCCACACTCCCCACTAGAAGGGGTATATAAAACATGTAATTGATCATGTTACCCTTCTTAAAACCTTCCATGGGTCTTGATTGGCCTGAAGATAAAATCCAATTCCTTACCTGCACACCTGGACTTTTTGACCAGACCCTAACCTTCCTCTATAGCTTCCCCGTGAGTCTATTCTTTTGTGGTGTTTTCCTCTCCCTCCATTCCCAGCATGCTGTGCTCCAGTCAGGCCAGCTCACTTGCAGTTTCACACACACACACACAAGGCTGGGTCATGCCTCTATGCCTTTGCTCTGGCAGAGCTCTGACTGGTGTGCTTCAGCCTGATCCTGGTTTCCCCACACACCACACTCACTCCTATGTCAAGAATCAGAGTCACTCATGCAAAGTTTTCTCATTCTCTGCATTATATATAAACTCCCAACTCTTTTTTTTTTTTTTTTTTGAGATAGGGTCTTACCCTGTCACCCATACTGGAGTGCAGTGGCATGATCTTGGCTTACTGCAACCTCTACCTCCCTGGCGCAAGTGATCCTCCCATCTCAGCCTCCCATGTAGTTGGGACTACAGGCATGTGCCATCATACCTGGCTAATGTTTGTATTTTTGGTAGAAATCAGATTTTCCATGTTGGCCAGGCTGGTCTCAAACTCCTGGGCTCAAGCGATCTGCCTGCCTCAGCCTCCCAAAGTGCTGGGATTATAGACAGGGACCAACGTGCCTGGCCTGAACCTCCACTCTTGGTTATCATGAACTCCATCACACTTTTGGGTATTACCTGGGTGTAACACCATGCCAGAGTGACACACCAGGTGTGGTGGTGTGTGCCTGTAGTCCCAGCTATTTAGCACGCAGAGCTGGGAGGATTGCTTGAGCCAGGGAAGTGGAGGTTATAGTGAGCTCAGATCGCACCACTGCACTCTAGCCTGTGTGACGAAACCAGTCCTTGTCTCAAAAATAAATAAAAAGGACAAATGTTTTGTGATTCCACTTACATGAGATACCTAGAATAGTCATTCTTAGAGATGGAAAGTAGAATGGTGGTGGTCAAGGGCTGGGAGAGAGGGGAATGGGAAGTTATTGCTTAATGGGTATGGAGTTTTAATTTGGGAACAAGAAAAAGTTCTGCAGATGGATGGTAGTGATGGTTGCACAACAATGTGAAAGTATTTAATGTCACTGAACTATATGCTTAAAAATAATTAAATTGGTGATTTTTTTTTGAGACAGAGTTTTGCTCTTGTTGCCTAGGCTGGAGTGCAGTGGTGCGATCTTGGCTCACCACACCCTCTGCCTCCTGGTTTAAGTGATTCTCCTGCCTCAGCCTTCCCAAGTAGCTGGGATTATAGGCATGGGTCACCACCCATGCCTAGCTAATTTTGTAT